AGGGAGGGCGCCCTGCTCTTCTTCCGCGTGCGCGAGCAGCAGGCCAAGCTGCGCGGGTTTGCCTGGCTGCTGCGTCGCATGTTCTTCACAAAGGACGGCGAGAGCCAGGTGTGGCAGCGCTTCGTGCTGCTCGCCTTTGTCTGCAGCAACTACATCTACTTTGGATGGGTGCACCCTTTCCTGCCTCCCCTCCACGCCCTGCTCTTCCTCTCCGTGCAGGTTGCCATGTGGGGTCTGTGGATGTGGGTTGCTCGCCGTGATCCAGGCACGTTTCGCCCGACTGCATCGCGCGTACAGCAGTACGAGGCCGCCCTTCGCAACTTTGCCTCGCCAAACATCACCAGCGAGGAAGCAGAGCAGGTTGCGTCACGGTTCTGCCACACGTGCCGCGTTGTTCGGCCACCGCGGGTGCACCACAGCAGCGTCAGCAACTCGTGTATTGTCGACTACGACCACGCGTGCGATTTCATGGGACACGTCATTGCCATCAACAACCGCCGCCAGTTTATGCTCACCATCTTCATGCTCGCGCTCCTCACCTCCTTCATCGCCGTCAAGGTGTGTGTGGGTGGGGGGGGGGGGGAAGGGAGGGTGTTAGGGAGGATGAGCGGTGTTGCGCGCGCGCGCGCGTGTGTGTGTGTGTGCGCTTGTTACACTCGGCATGCTGATCCTCTGTTGAGCTTCTTGCTTGAACGCTTGCTCCTTCGATTGCATCTTCGCTCCTTCCGTTGCAATATCGCCCGCTTACTCCTGGCACACACACACACACACACACACTCTCTCTCTCACTCTCTCTCTCTCTCTCACACACTCACTCTCACTCACTCTCTCTCACTCTCTCAACAGGTGTATCTGCTGCAGCCCGCGTTCCCGCGAACCGTCGCCTTTTGGGTTTCGTATCTTGTCCTCCTTGCCTCCGCCTCCTTCTGCATCCAGCTCGTCGGCTCACACGCCCTGTACGTCTCTCGCGGCCTCACCCTTGCCGAGGCCGTCAAGCGCAAGTTTCCCGATGGTTCACCCTACAATCGCGGGCTCTTGCGCAACTGGGCGCACTTCTGTGGCACCACGCCCACGCCCGCTCCACACAAGCCTCCATCGCATGTCTAGCTCTGCATGTGTGCGTGTGTGTGTGTGTGTGTATTTGTGCGCTTCACTGTTTGTTCTTTCGTGCCTTCCCTCCTCTCCTCTCTGCGTGTTTGCTCCCACGTGTCCATACGCGGCTCCTCATCACTCGCTCGCTTGACTTGTACATACTTGAATAGATGGTCATAACCTCTCCTCCACTGGTGCTTGTTGTGCTTGAAGTAATGGGTGGGTGCATTTATGCGTTGTTTGAACGAACAAAGCAGAACGAACCAAAAGGAACCAAAACGAGTGCAACAAAGCAAGCTGCAAACGTAACACACGTTGGCATCTCACAGTGCACAAAAAACAGAAAGCAACCGCACCACTCAAGTGATACAAAAAGAACAACGTGGAGCAACCACAGCCCCAGCCTTTCATTTGGCTTTTCTGGACGTCTCTCTGAACACACACAGCTTCCTTGCTCTCACACACACACACACACACACACACACACACACACACACACACACACACACACACACACACGCATACGCACGCACACACAAACACACACTTCACAGCTCAAACTCAGAGTCACTTTCGTCTGCGGCGTCAAAGTCGCTGTCGTCGTCCTTGAAGTCCATGACCTCCTGCTCGTCCTCGTTGGCGCCGTCGTTCTGCGCTGCGCCGTTCGCTTCATCGTCGCTCTCCATCATGGCGGCATAGTCGACCTTCTTCCGCGTGCGTCGCGGACGACGCGACCGGCCACCTGTAAAAAGGGCGCGGGTGGATGAAACAGCAGAGCATGGGCAATGACGAGTGAGACACAGACGGCAAGTAAGCAGGCAAGTGAATCGCACATGGCATCATACAACACAACACAACAAGCACCACAACAAACACCCTCTACCCCATTCCAACATCCAAAACACATCCAAAACACACACACACACACACACACACACACACACCCAACACGCACCCGTGCTGTTGTCCTCGTCGGCACCGTCGTCATCGTCGCTGAGGACGCGGCGACTGCTGCGCTTCGCAGTCGTCGTCGCCTTCTTGACTTTCTTCACGGGCGCAGCCTTTTTCGCCTTCTTGTTCCCCTTGGCCTTTGGCGCAGCAGGGCTGTCAGGCATCCAGCTGTCGTCCATGCCACCGTCAGCATCAATGTCGTCGTCGTCGTCGTCATCGGCAATCACCTTGCGGCCCGTGCGGCGCGCCTTTGTTGTTTTGGTCGCTGCTTTCGTCTTGGTGCCTGCCGCCTTCTTGCCCCTTGTTGCGGTTGTCTTCTTGGCCTTTGCTGCCACCACCACCGCTTCGTCGTCGTCGTCCGAGTCGTCAGAGATGACCGCGTCCACGATAGCAGCCTTCGTCTTTCGCTGCCCGCGCTTTGCGGCGGGTGCGGCCTTGGCCTTCTTGCCCTTGGCAGCCGCAGCACCACGACCACGGCGGCTCGTCAGGCTGGCGACAGAGAAATCATCATCGTCAGCGTTGTTGTTGTCGTCGTCGTTGCTCACGCTTCCATCCGCCCCAAAATCAAACACGGACGTGTCGAGGTCATCCTCATCTTCCGCAGCCTTGGCCTTGGTGCTGCTCTTCTTCGCAGCGGCCTTGCGCTTGGCTGTGGTTGCAGCCTTGGTCGTCTTCTTCGCTGCTGCTGTTGTCTTCTTGGCCGCCTTCGCACCGCGGCTTGCTTTTGCCGTCGCAGCGGCCTTCTTCTTGCCCTTTGCCTTGGACGCGAGGGCGGGTGCCTCCCAGTCGCTGTCGTCACCAGCATCGTTCTCCCCCTCCTCATCGTCAGACACGTCCAGCACAAAGTCTTCGTCCTCCTCGCCCCCTGCGGGCGAGGGCGATCGGCTCTCGTCAAACGTGCGCTTGGCGGCGCCACGCTTGGCCGCACCGCGCCGGCCGCCGTTGGTGCTGCTTGCCTTGCTACTCGTGCTGCTGCGAGAGGAAGAAGACACGGACACCGTCTCGTCGGGCGAGGCCGCCACGTTACGGCGACGTGTCTGCAGGCGCGCAAACAGACCACCCTTGAACTCCTCATCATCATCATCGTCATCGCCATCGAGGGCAATGGAGTTTGAGCTGGTGTCGCTGCTGCTCTTGGATTGCGCAGCAGGCATGTCCCACTCAACCTCGTCGTCAACGTCCTCGTCGTCCACCTCCTCCTCCATCTTCTGCGTCCTCTTCTGCGCCACCTTGGCTGCGGTGCGCATGCTGCGCTTCGTCGTTTTGGCGCCGCCGTTGCTCAGGGACTCCTTGATGTCCAGCTGCCGCGTGCTCTTCTTGGCCTTGGCGGCACCCTTCTTCGTCTTTGGTGCCGTCGTCACGCCGCCCGGCGGCATCCAGTCATCGTCATCGCCGCCAGTGAACGCGTACGCGTCGTCGCCCGCAAAGTCGTCGTCGTCGTTGTCGTCATCCATCGCCTCCGCCTTGACAGCCTGTTTCTTGCTCTTCTTCGCAGCCGCCGTCGCCTTCTTCTTGCGGGTGGTCTTGCGCTTGGCCTTGGACTTTTTGAGGTTCTTCTCAATGACCTGGCTCATGTTGAGCTCCTGCTCCTCCTCCGCGGCCTCAATCTCCGCCAGCGCCTCCACAAACGCGGTCAGGTCCTCCTTCCACAGGTCCTGCGGCGTCTTCTCCAGCAGCGCGTTGAGCTCCGCCTCGGTGCCGTTGCGCTCCTCCGTCAGCTTGTCCACCCGCTCCATGGTCAGGTTCCACATGGGCATGCTCAGCAGGTAGTCAAAGTCCGATGCAGACTCCTCCAGCGCCTCGTCCTCGTCCGACGACGGCGGCGCGCCGGCTGCGTCGTCGTCCAGGTCGCCGACCGTCTTGGCGCCCTTCTTGCCCTTGGGCTTGGGGAACGCCGCAAAGCCCTTGGCGCGCAGCTCCTGCAAAATGTCGGCCTTCTTGCGGTTGCTGATGACGAGCGAGCCGCTGATCACGTCCAGGATGAAGCGCACCTTGTTGTCCATCTTCTTGTACTCGGAGGTCATGCAGTCCGCCAGGAGGCTCTTGCGCTTCTGGTACAGGCGCAGGCGCACGTCGAAAAAGTCGCGCAGAATCTCCTGCACGCCCTCGTACTTCTTGATGCGCCCCTGCGGGTCGAACAGCGTCATGTTGGACGTGGAGATTGAGCCCTCCAGCTTGAAGACCTTGTACAGGCCCTTGGTCTCCGCAGCCTGCATCTGCTCGGGCGTCATCGACACCACAAAGCGCACCGTCGTGTCTGTGTGGTACTGCGAAAACTCGAGAATCTGCGGCGGCTTCTTGCCGTCGTCCGCCGCCAGGCCCTCCAGAAACTCCTTGTACGGCTGCGTCCACGTGCGGATGGGCAGCTCCGAGATCTCAATCGTCGTCTCGTCGAGTTTCTTCAGCGTGCCGCGCACCGCGTACTTGTCCTTGCCCTTTGGCGTGATCTCGCCCGTGAAGCCGGCGTACCAGGGGTGCAGCTCGTCCGGCTCCTGCCCCTCAATCATGGCAATGAGGGCGTTGACCAGGTCGCGCGGGTTGTAGTTTGGCACGGACGAGGACCAGCCCGTGCCGATGCCGTCGCTGCCGTTCACCAGCACCATGGGCAGGATGGGCGCGTAAAACTCTGGCTCAATCGTCTGCCCGTCGTCCTCCAGGTGGTTGAGCAGGGCGTCGTCCGCCAAGTGGAAGATCTTGCGCGCCAGCGGCGACAGTGAGGTGAAGATGTAACGCGAGCTGGCCGCGTCCTTGCCGCCCGCCAGGCGCGTGCCAAACTGGCCAATGGGCAGCAGCAGGTTGAGGTTGTTGCTGCCCACGAACCGCTGCGCCATGCCCACAATGGTGCCGGCCAGGCTCATCTCGCCGTGGTGGTAGGCCGAGTGCTCCGAGACGTACCCGGCAAGCTGCGCCACCTTGATCTCGTCCTTGAGCTTGCGCTTGAAGCAGGAGAAGAGCAC